TCTGTTTATTAGGAACATATTGACTGTCTGACTAAATTAGTCACACTATTTCGTTTAGAGAGCATTAGACAGGACTACGTTCTCTCTCTGCCACTTGTCAGTTATTACTCTTAAAAGACTGTTTCTTTTCATTAATGTCTTCATCTGCCCAATTATGATGATATTTTGGTTGTATAACACAATGATAGCATGATATCACATACACAATGCCATTATGTTAAGATCTATGGGCAGAATTGATTATTCCTCCCTTCTCTTTTCACATACTTTGTTTATAACTTGGTCACAACATTTACCCAAGTTTTCCTTAGTTAGAGTGATATATGTGTGCACCTGCTGCCTTTCCTTTGGTGATAAGCCCAGTTGGGCAGGGAACAGGTATATTCCACGTATGCTGCATTCAGCTGCATCAATGAGTGCCTCACACATAGAAGGTATTCATATCCATGCGCCAAAAGTGAGAGAGAGAGAGAGAGAGAGACAGTAATTACATAAGTCCTGTGTGTTTTGGCATATTGTCTGTAACGAACCTTAGATTTTTTAGAATATTCTTCACTATATTTATTGGTTTATTCATCAATTGAAATATAATTGACTTATACTAGTTTTAGGTGTACAACATGAGAATCTGATATATGTATATGTCGTGAAATGGTCACCACAATAAGTCTGGTTAATATCCATCACTATGCATAGTTACATTTTTTTTTTCTTGTGATGAGAACCTTCAGGTCTATTCTCTTAGCAATTTGCAACTCACATTTGTTTTTTTCTTTTTAATGTTTATTTATTTTTGAGGGGGGAAGGGGCAGAGAGAGAGGGAGACAGAATCTGAAGCAGGCTCCAGGCTCCCAGCTGTTAGCACAGAGCCCAATGCAGGGCTCCAACTCACTAACTGTGAGATCATGAGCTGAGCCAAAGTCTGACACTTAACCAACTGAGCCACCCGGGTATCCAACAAATTTTTTTAAATGTCTATTTATTTATTTTTGAAAGGGGCATAGAGGGGTGGGGGAGACAGAATCACAAGCAGGCTCCGTGCTGTTGATGCGGGGCTCGAACTCACGAACTATGAGCTCATGACCTGAGCTGAAATCAACAGTCTAAGAGCTAACTGATTGAGCCATCCAGGCACCCCTACATTTGTTTTTAAAATGTCAACTACAGCTGCTTAATCTGCTCCCAGTCTTCCCATTTCTGAGTTATTTAGATGTTTATTGATCAGGATTGATCTATACAGGCTAGGAACCCTGGCTAAGAGTTCACTTTTGACTTTAAATGGGATTTGAACTCAGATGGGCAAGTGGATTAGTCAATCTAGTCAGCAAGCAAGTAAGAAACAGCACATCCTTCTTCCTCCTAGCTTCAGGTCACCCGTTAGGGCTCCCTATTGTCACAAGCTAACAAGGGGCTGGCTGCTGGAGGAGAAATGCTCTCTCATTTCTCAGCACTGCAGAGCAGAACATAAGGAGAGGTGTTAGCTGAGAGACAATTGCCTATTAACTCGCAGAGTGATAACTAATGAAGGCGAGTGCACCTTGTATATTGCACAGTCTGTAGCTGGTTCATTTTCAGTCGAATGCTTTCGATCCATGTTAAGTTTGGGATGGGGGGGGTCTTAAACAATCTCCAATTTTATCATCCTGCAGGTAGGACATTTGTTCCTAAAGAAGAGTGTGTGGTCTCCTAAATGGGTTTAAGAGACTGTCTTTAAAGGACCTATTTTAAAACAAAAGAGGAAACCAGGGGACAAGGAAAGGATTCTGGAAAGCAAAATGAAATCCTGGGGAGATCAGATGTCTACTGTTTGATGGCAGAAGGGGTGCGAATTCCAGCATGAGCGCTATTCCAGGATGAAAATGGTTCCTCTGCCAGAAAATTGACTGGTGCTAAGTTTCTCTAATTAGAGTGCCAGGTAAATGAATTACTAGCACCATTCTGCTGACTCCCAGACACAACGTTCAAGGTGGCCCGGGCCAGTAAACAAGGATGGAAAACATATCCTCACACATTCGCTTCATGCCTGAAAAACAAGCAATTTAAGAGAAGACATCTGGACACAAAATTTGAACGGTTCTCAGAGCCCATCAAAACATGGATTTGATGGCTTGGCGTCTGGTTGCTAAGCAACGTACTTCTTACATTCAAAACAGAGTTGTAAAAGTAGGTTCCAGGTGCCAACTTCGGGTATTTCTCATTGAAAAAAAAAAGCCATGAACGTTTCTCTTAGGTCTTAGGGTACCTGATTTCTACGGTGGAAGGGCTCAGATGATTTCTGCTCTCGTCCCCTTATTTCTCACATTCTGAAGCATTAGGTGGAGTTTAACTTTACATTTCAAGGTACTCTTACTGGATGCTGCATTAAGGGTCTTGTCATATTTTTCTCAGCCCCCCAGTGAACAGCATTCTTTGAAATTAAGTCTATATAGTCACAATACATATGCTTTTCAAGTATTTGGTTCTTCTCAAGTTAGATGTATATACCAAAGGGCCAACCACAACCTAAGTGAGATTCGCTTTACCAAAAGTATGCTGCTTGGCAGGGAGGCGACGGAGGGCCCATGTAAAATATTTTCCATGTGCAGACTCCTTTGGAAAATGTTATGTTATTACAATCCTATTAACATTAAGATAGACCATTAATCTCTTGCTCCCTTTTTTTTATCTACTTAAAACGTACTGATAGGTTTCAAAGCTTGGAAAACAGGAATTGTTAACTCCCCAAATAAAACACAAATCCAGAAAAGCAATAGGCAGATCATTTAGAACCACTAACGGATTTCCCTTTTTTTTTTCTTCTGGGAAGCAATTAGGAAAATTATGGGGCAGGAGGAGGTAGGGAGTAATGGGGTCTTCTATTAATTTTTGTTTGTTTTAAAAATTATGGAACGTGCACTTGTATTCCGAAATGAAAGTGAATTATTAAAATGACCTACTCATTTGGAGTAGTGTGCCTACAAAAGTATTTTTTCCTCTGTCTCTAGAGAACTTCCTTCCATAAACTCTCTGAAGCCTTCTTCTTGGCAGCTTCTTGTGATGCAGCAGAGCAAGAAATCCAGACGTGGAAAATTGCTTACAAGAAAAAAAAAAGTCTTGGAAACCAAATAAAAAAGGACTAGTTTTACAGGAGAAGTTCACTCCATACAGAAGGCTACATAACGAATGTTCTTCCATTTCAAAGATTAATGTAGCGCAGAGAAATTACAGGATGGTTTTTAGATCACTTAATGAGAAGGAAGATTTTCCATCGTGCGTAGCCTCATGTCCTGCCAGGTTCTTCCTAAACTGTTGCCCTCTGGCATCTTTGTTTACATGTGGTTTACGTTTATGTCCCCCCCATGGACCCCAAGTGTTTCTCCATTCCAAATTTGTCGACACTTTTCCTTCATACCAGGGGTGCCTTGGTAAAAACAGAGAATTAGGTGGTGGAGCCCTGTGATTCTAAAGCCTACAAGCCATCATGGCATCTTCTATCCTAGCTCTGGGCACTCCATTTCATACCATGCATTTGCATGATATTTCAAACTTTCAAATCCTTCAGCTACCCTGGGTGGATCCCAAATACTTAAAGAATGAGCTTTCAAAGGCAATTCTAACCAGGCAGCCGCGAGGCAGGACTTAAAACTGCCAATCAGAGCACAGTCATGAAGCAGGCTCAGAGCTCTGAGGAAGCCAGGCTCAAAACCAGCCCAGGCTCCGTGTCTGAATGTCACATTTAGGTGGGGACTGAATGATTGAGCAAATAGATATTGTGTTCTTCCCAGAACCTCCGGGCCTATAGAGATCAGTTTCTTTCCTTCCCTTTAACCATCTTCCTTAAAACAGGGAAATCCTGGGAAAGCATTCCTTCCTCGTGTCTTGACTCTTTGCCCAGGTCTTTCCACACTGGGGCTTCAGAAACACGTTCATCCAAAACCCAAACATGCAAGCTGGATGTGACCCTTCGCTGGCAGCTCCGGAGGGACAGGCAGTGCCTGACTGGAGGACTAGGCAAAGGAGGCACTAAGGATCCTGACAAGACTGGGTTATCCTCCTTGCCCTCCCGAATCCCTTCCTTACCAGAAACAAAAATTCACCAAGGTGGACACGTAAGAACTTCGTTAAAAAGGCAAACTAGAAAAAGAGTCTTTCCTTTGAAAAGTCTTTCCTCAGCTTATGCCACAGGAGTGGTTCCAGTAAGGAAGTATGGACATTGACAATGAGAGGTCATGGATGAAAGTGGCTACAACGGGTCAACCAACAAGCCCCTCCCATGAGGTTGCACCAAGTAGTATATTTAGGCTCACTGAGAGGTGGAAGATCCCCCTCCCCCACCCCCACAAAAGCAGAAGAGGGAGGAGGAGGAGAAAGAAGAGGAAGAAGGAAGGAAGGAAGGAAGGAAGGAAGGAAGGAAGGAAGGAAGGCAGGCAGGCAGGCAGGCCACCCATTCCAAAGATAAATTTGCTTTTGAGGTGCCTGGGTGCCTCAGTCAGTTAAGCGTCCCAGTTCAGTGCAGGTCATGATCTCCCGGTCCAAGAGTTCAAATCCCGCATCGGGCTCTGTGCTGACAGCTCAGAGCCTGGAGCCTGCTTCAGATTCTGTGTCTCCCACTCTCTCTGCCTCTGCCCTCCTCACACTCTCTCTCTCTCAAAAACAAACATTAAAAAAAAAAAAAAAGAGATTTGCTTTTCTCCTTCTCCCACTTAACTCTGTACATTTTCTCAACCATTCTAGTCCCTTCTTATCTTATTCATGCCTCTAGGACACCGTATCTCAGACTAGAGACATCCAGCCTGATTGATCGTCTACGCAGGTCTAGCCATTCAAGGCAGGGATTGCTTCTGGGGACACCCAGACCACGCGAGCAGGGCTGCAGGCTAGCTGGGTTATCCTTCAAGGAGCACTCCGGCAAATCCGCAGCGGCAGGCGGCGTGTGGGAAAAGCCAGGCGGTCAGCAAGGCTGAACCTCTGACCCACCTCCTTCCACGGGCGCTCGGACCACCCACGCAGGTTGGACTCACCTCCCGCGTGAACAGAATGGCCGCGTCGTGATGCTCCTCGTGGTCATCCTCCAGCTGGTTGTGCTGATGCTGCCACTTGCAAAAGTTCTTGAGCGTGGTGGCCGCGTTCTTGCTCACCTCCAGGCTCTTGTCCTTGTCACCCAGCACCACCACCTTCACCACGGCCAGGCGGATGTGGTTCTCGATGCTGGCGTGGCTGTACAGCCTGTTGGCGATGGAGGCCAGGGTCAGCAGGTAGTGCTGCAGGCCCCGGCCGTACATCCGCGCCATGGACGCGTCAGCCACCAGGAGAAGCTCCACCTGGCGGGCCCGGGAGATGGAGCGGCGCCGCCGCCGCCACCACGTCTGGGGTCCCTGGGTCCCCTCGGAGGAGGGAACCGTCTGGTCCGGGAACTGCGGGGCCAGCTCCCAGCGTGGGTCTGGGCTGCCGTGCGCCGGGGGGCGCTCGCGAGGCCCTGGCGGGGACGCGGGAGTCTCGCAGCTAGCGCGCGGCGACACGGCCTCAAAGCTGAAGCCCTCGCGGGTGTAGACGTGCAGGACCTGCGAGGACCCATCTCCGTACACTCGCCCGGCCTCTGCCTCGGCCCGGGGCCCGCGCAGCAGCGGCTTCAGGGTGTAGCGCGCGTGCTTCACCGCGAAGAAGCCGTCGAGCCCGCCGCAGAGGTCAAAGACAGCCAGGGAGCGGGGGCTGCCGTCCACGGTGCCGCGGTGGAAGCAGTGGTCCCGGTGGCGCCGGCTGGCACCCGGACCGCTTCCCGCGGGCGCAAAGCCAGCGGCGCCCAGCGAGCCATCGCGCTCCAGGTCCAGGAGGAACCTCCGGCCGCCCGCGTAGACGAGGTAGCCCACCTTGCCGCCGCCGGCGTAGATCTGGTCGATGTTGTGCACCAGACCGCCGCTCCTGCGCTGCGGCGCCAGGGGGTGCGGGTGGCCCGGAGGCTCGGCCCGCTCCTGCGCCTCCTCCCCCTGCCGCCCGCGGGGCTGGGCGGCCGCTGCGGCAGCCCGAGGCTGCCCGGCTGTATCCTGGGCAGGTGCCGCGGCGGGGCCGGCCGCGACCGGGGGCAGGCGGAGCGCGCACAGCAGCAGGGACGCCCACCCGAGCAGCATAGTGCGCCGCCCGCGGGGAGGGGCCGCGCGACGGGGACTTGATGGGTATCTGTTATTCGGTGTGGAAGTGACCGGGGCGGGAGGTGGGGGGCACAACACACACTTGCTTGCAAGGCTGAGTCAAGTGTCGGAGGGAGGAGGGCCTGGCGGCAGCGCCAGCCGGTCCCGGCCTCGGTGCCAGCGTGCGAACTTTTCTTTGTTGCTTTGGAAAATGTTTGGATGCGTGCTCCGGGAAAAAAAAAGGGGGGTAAAAAAAAAAGGAAAAAAAAAGGGGGGGGGGACGCCGGGTCAGGAGGTTCCGCAAATACAAGGAAAGAGTGGGGGAATAACCCAAATCCAGCCCCAATGCAGCCACTAACGGTGCACGACAAAAAGTAAGGATGGTGTCGCGCACCAGGCTGGCAATCAGGCAAAGTAGCCTCCCGCCCCTCGCTGCTCTGGACCCGCCGGCAGCGGGGGTTCCAAGCTCCAGAGCCCAGTCCTTTTCTTATTCTGTGGGTGTCCTTGACTCTACTAGAACCAGGAGGAAAGGAAGAAAGAGAGGGAGAAAAGCCATAAAAATTGAAACAAAAAATGCCAGGCGCGGCCTGCGGGCAGCCAGCGAAGCGGCGCGTCCGTGTCCCTTCGGATGCAGTGTCGTCCTGCCCGCCGTCATCCCCAGTCGGCCGCTGCGAGCGCGGAGAGCAGCGCGAGCGCTGTGAAGATGCGAGGAGGTGGAACAATGAATTTATAGCGGCATGCCATCCTGCAATGGCAATTTCAATCTGTCACTGCAGCTGCCTCTTAAAGGAGAACACCCTCCCCACCTCCACCCTTCCCGGTCCGCGCCTAATCAGATGGGGAGGCGGGCGAGGTGGTGGTTGGGGTTTGGGGGTGATCGAGGAAAGGAAGACCGAGAGGGACCCGGCGAGGTGGAAGGAGGAACGAGGGAGGGAGCAAGGGCGAGAGGGGGGGAAAAAAAGTATTGGGGTAAGAAAACAATTTCCTTGGCCTCATTTAAAGCCACAGTGGCTCCGGGTTTGTCTGATATTTCACAACCAATCGGGGTTGGCTAACCCCGGCTTACCTCATCTCCTGAAAGGGGTGTTTTGAAAGTTACTGAGACAGTGCAAGTCTCTCCCTGCCTCCTTCTCTCCTGCTCCTTCTCCCTGGGTAGGAAGTTCCTGCCGCAAGTTTTTTTCCTCGGTGCACGCCCGTGCGCTCCCGCCTCGAAGACCTTGCCACTCCGTCCGCCCGCCCGCCCGCCCGGGGCTTTCGGCTGCCCGCGCGGCCCCTCGCCCCGCGCCCTCCTCGCCGGCCCGCCGCCGCCCCGGTCCCGGGGTGCCTCCCCTCCCCAGGTCCCCGGCCTCTTCGCTGCGGGACGCTCGTCGGGCTCGGGCTCCGGCCTGGTGACTAAGTTCTCCCAGCCACCGGCAGAGGGGCCGGGCGGCCGGAGAGCCGCAGGCGCTTCCTGGCGCGTCGCTGCGCCCCGAGTCCTGCGGTGTCCGCGGCAGGGTCGCCCGCCGCCTGGGAACTCCGCGCCTTTGTGTGCGAGCCCGGGGCTCACCCCCCCCCCCCCGCCCCGCCTTTCTCCGCGCGCCGATCCTCTGCGCCCGCAATCTGTCACTTCATCCCGGGCGACTGGAACTTCCTTCGCTCTGCTCTAAGAAGGCAGGGCGAGAAAGAGTTAACTGTGGTAGAGAATTGAGCTTTTTTTTTTTTTAATAAGCTTAAAAAAAAAATATGTGCCCATACTTTCTCTTCTTCCTCCTGCTTAAATGAAAATCATATACCCGTTATTTGCATTTATGTGTCCTAAAACAACCGCTCATCGCTGCAGGCCCTGACCTACTATCCTTCTCAGAAATTCCCATTAGGAGAAAAAAAAAAAAAAAGACTGGAGAAGAGGGGAGGGGGGGTGCAGGTCGGTGCTTATTAGTAGGTGAGTGGCATAGTCATTGTGACTAGGTTTCTCCTAGTTTCTTTGTTTCCTGTCATTATGGACCCTAATAGAAACGGAAAGAACATCCCAGGGCGTTCTGACCACTATCTGGTAAAGGGTAGAAGATCTCCTAGAACAGGAGCACCTCCCACTTCCCTTCATTCTTCAGGCTAATTAATGAATCCGTGGGTAAAATGAATTCTGTATAACTAGCACTTTTCTGCCTTTCTTACCTTTCACTTACAGAGATGCGCAGGATAGTGGGCCTTCCTCAGCGGACCCTGAGCTACAGGTGGTTTCCCCAGATCCTTGCTAAGAGGTGTGATCGCTTTTTCAGGGAGTGGTTGGAGGTCCTCAGAGTGGTGGGGAACCCCGTGTGGGAAGCTCAGAATTGTCCAGCAATGGTGCCCAGTGCCCCGTGCGTTGAGGACCCTCTGTAGTCAGTCATGGGGGAGGCGGGGTGATGCATATCCTGAGCATTAGCTCATGTGTATAAATGAAATGATCGCTTGGGGACCCTGGACCACCCAACAGCCCCTAGTGGATTCTGCAATACCTCCAGACTTGGCAGGAAATTGCTGTTGCTTAAGGCTTGTCATCCCCTTTTTATTCCACACCCCCTGGGTCTCTCAGTGGTCAGTTGCCCAAAGCCAATTCTAAAGTTGAATAGTTGGAGGGACCAGAGTTGTTCAGGATCAGGATATCTATCCTGATCTGTCTTCTCTGTCCCTCCTCAAAACCTTGCGGTCCTTCGGTCTTAATAGAGAGCAAACTTTTTTTTTTTTTTCCTTCCAGTTTCACTGAAAAGTGAGCACCGATACTCGGCACTAAACACCATCTCTAAAACAACTTTGATTTACTAATGTTAACCATTTCATCATTGTTACTCCCAGAGGATCATTTTGCGAGATAAGCATTTTGGACGACAGTGGCTTGAACTTGTGAATTATAATTATTTGCCTTCACAGGCAGGAAATGTCTTCTTTAGCACTTATGGGAATGCCAGCCGAATTTTCCTTAGTGAAAGTTTTGCTCCTCTTTCAAAAACACGGTATTTCTCATGTGAATCATGCCTCTGAACTTTATGCCTTTAAGCTTAATTACATAATGACATTTGTCCTCAGAGTATTCAAATGTTTAGAAATATGTTGAAGAACAGGACAGGGCAGAGAAGGCTCCAAACATGACTATCAAGCACTAAATATTTATTAGAACCACATAGTCACAAAGAAAGGCACTATAACGACAGCTTATGAATAGGATGAGTGGATTCTTACATAGTCAGACGATTTCTACTTGGGGGTGATTTTAACTTTTCTGTGAAAGTAACTTGGATACTTTAGGAAGTTCGTTTGGTAATGCTTTTCGGATATTACCCTCGTGGATTAGGATAAAGTGCTAAGTTCCAGAACAATGAACGTCTTGTCAGACCAAGGAAGTCATTTGTCCTGGATGAAAGTAGTCCAAGTTGTTCTTTTCCTTTTACAGTAGGAGGCTAAAATATATTAGCAGTCGTGCGTAGGTGGGCTAACTGCTACTTCAGTCTTTGATTATTCCGAAAATACCGTTGTATTTGTGCATTTTTAACGAGAACTTTTCGCTGCGTTGGTGGAGGACGTGATCACACCTGATGACGTAATTTTACATTTCCCAAAAGGAGGGGAGACTTTCTCTGCCGTCCAGTGGGAAGTTGCAGTTGAAATTTATCCTGGTGATCACCTAAGGCCGCTTCCTCCGGCTACCAAAGAGGAGCTGAGAGCAGAGACCAGAGCGATTGCCTGCGGTTAACAAGTCCACCAGTGGTCAGCTCTCCTGAATCCTGAAAACTTGACTCCTTCAGTCGGTGCTCAATCGACAGCACCTCTTAAAATCTGTCCAGTTTCGCAAATGTCTGTCGAGGGCTGGCTACCAAGTGCTGTGCGAAGTTCTCCGGAGACACATAAACATGAATAAGCCATGACTGCCATTCAGAGACGCTCACGGTTCACAGAGGAGCCAATTGTACCAGGAGCTGCTTGGACTACAGGCTGGAAAATGCAAATATGGAGGGAAAAAGGCAAGAGAGTAACTAACCCCTGCGGGTGCTCTGAGCTATGTATTTCCAGGACCGTTTCACTCCATAGGACTTGTGTATCCTTGTAAGTAGTATGTTCTCACATTTCCATTTGCTAAAGTGTCATTTCCTCCCCTCCCCCATCTATGATTTTAATGGTAAGGGTGAGGAAATAAGTGACAATGAAATACTCCCCCTCTAGCCAAACACCTGCTCCTCACCTCCCGTGCAGGAGAATCACAGCCTCTCGACTCTGCGCAATAATTTTCCTTTCCCACACCCAGATTCCCTACCCCAGGCCTTACTGTATTTCGAGCTTCCTTAGTATCGTCTCCCTTTGGGGCCTGATGGTGGATGCGAGGAAGACAGCCTCTCCGTGGCTACTTAAGGCCCTTTATGAATGCCTTGAAGACTCTGGGCCAGCCCTTTCCTTGGGGGGCCACTCAGCTTTTCAAGCTCTAGTTCTCAGAAGACATGCTTCAAAACCAGAGGTTATTTTTAGTCCCTTCGTGTTGTGTGATCAGGCAGCATTTGTCCTTTGGTGATGGCCTATTTCTCTTACCGTAATGCCTCCAGGTTCATCCGTGTTGTCACCTATAAAACAGTCAAACTCCTGGAATCAGAGAGTAGAGTGATGGTTGCCAGGGCCCAGGGAGAGGGGGAAATGGGGAGTACAGATTCAGTTCTGCTAGACAAATGCTAGAGATCTTCTGGACCACGTCGTGCCTACAGTTAACGATACTGTATCGTGCACTTGAAAATGTATTGAGGGTACATTCCGTGTTAAATGTTCTTACCACAAAGCAAAACAAAGCTAAAGGTGACAGTCTAGGAATGTGGGAAGGAGTATATTTACTATACTAGCTTTGATACGAATCCTAAATGTTTAGAAGATGAAGCTATACCCGAACGGTCCTCTCCTTTGCCAGCCCTTTAACTCCGTCTCCAAATCCTCTTATATCTCAGGATGGTCTAACATGCATCTGGACCGGCCGATACACGTGCACAATCTCCCACACATTGTGC